TAAACTAGGGATGTTCCCTGCAGATTCAACAGAAATTTAAATTCAAAGTAAGAAAACACTCAACAAGTCAAAACTGAGCCCGATTTATTTGATAAGGTTAAACCTTGTCCCAAAAAATAGTGCTTGTATTTTAACAGCTATTTGGAAAAGTTATTAATCAAAAAATAAAACAGCCAGAGCAGCATCGCAGCGTCTGTGGGTTGGGACGGTTAACAATCTCATCTATTTTTTGCTGAGGATGGCTACCGTTAGCAGCAATAGCACCAGCAGCCCGTTTTCCTGTGGTTACGCATCACGTTGAGTCAAAACACGAAACAGCGCTGGTCTTACGAGCTGTCATCTCTCCTCCTGGCTTAGATGCAACAGTTAACCAGCGTTGTACAAACTAAGTCTACATTTAAAAAGATATTAATGATAATTTAACCGACTAGCAAAGATATCAATGTTTAAACTAGTTGACTAATGTGAATGTGTGTCTTATCTTTTCTACAAATGCTAAAAACCTCACAGATGCATCCACACAATACTGTTAATTATTGTCTAGCAATCAAACCTTGCGTGTCACTATTAATATGACAGTACTTGATTTCCATTTTGGATGTCAGGATCTGTCAAGGCACCTTCATCCTGGCATTCTGTAGCTGTGGTATCTTGCACAGAATAAACACAGCTGTGTTTGGGGCTTGGGAGATGATTTTCGCTAAAGAGTTGTGCCATATCCGCCCCAGCAACAGACCACTAACTAGCTGCCATTCTGAGAGCTAATCTGTCTAGATATTTATGTGAATGGATAACTGTTTCACTTGAGGTTCACTTGAGCAGTGCCAGTCAGACAGACTGAAAGTGCTGTGGCTCGAGACAATGATGGTTGTCTGAGAGTGCTACCAGCCTGTGACAGGTTTGGCACAATCCTATTTGTGCAGGCCTGTGCCAAATTAGGCATATTTGTAAATGTATGGTGACTATTTTTGTCTCGCATTTTTAGGAAAATGAGAAAGTGATTTCCTTTCATGTCATTACCAATGCAAAATGCACAACATTCAAGGAATAAGCTGGCACAAAATCGGCAGTAACTTGGCAACAGTTGGGTCGGTGCGCAGCCATTAACCGAAATGGCCGAACTGTGTCTATCAAGCGCTCTGCTCACTGCGCTTCCCAACTGCAAATAGGACTGTGAGCTTTCCAAAAGGGTTATAATAGAAGGGGCAGGCAGCTGGTCCTCTTGGTTAAACATGAACAGGCTGCTCTTTGACAGGGCTGTCACCAACAGTCAGCATAGGTCACAGGGAGCCTGGTCTCACTCAAATGAAGAGGAGGATCTAATGAGGAATCTTAAAAAGGTAAGTACCACTCAATTTAAAACGTGCACAAGCCAAGTCATTCAATTGTGTGTAGGGTTGAAAAAAAAAAAAACTTGGTAGCACTACATATACAGAGAGTTAATTAATACTAACAGTTTGGTTTTTTTAGCTTTTTTCTGGCACTGAATCCACGCCTACTAATGTAAGATACGCGAAAGCTAGCATCTTTGAAGCCTGATAATGTATCTTGCCTGCAGCACCCAGCCAGCAGTCTTCTTACCAACACTGTCAGTTAACACCAATACTAAGCTGTCAGCACTACTGAGCACCACGCTGAGGGTGTGCCTTTTTCAACGCTGGGACTAACCAGACGTAATGTCAGGCTAAGATAGAGAGAAAAGGGAAAAAAAAGCACACAACTAAAAGCCAAGAGGTGAGAAGCAAGACACCCTCCTGGACTGACACAATTATGAGACTAAATAGATTCCCAAAAACATCTTACATACATAAAGAAAATGGTATTTGGTCTAATGGCTTCATGCGTTCATTTTGTACAAATCCTACTAAACACAGACTTCTTGTATGAAACAGAGACGCAGAATTAAAGCACATAATGTTCTACACATTCTCGGTTCTGTGCTATAATGCCCATCCCACACTGTATACACATCTCAGCCTTTCAAAGCAGGAACAATGGCTGACCTCTGACTTCTTTGCTAGGAGGGCTGGTTTATGATGTTTAACCATGATGCTGTCATCTTTATGCATCTTCTCTACAGGCACCAGCCAACCTGCGGAGACACATCTGCAAAAACGGCGTGATGATAAATTGGTGGTGAGAGGTCGAACGACGTCAAAGTAGACACACGAATCTGCTGCAGCTCCTTGCTTAACACATTAACACTGATGAAACAGGCTAATGCTTGCACGCATATACCAAAAGGATTACAGATGTGGCGCTAGCAGTTAAACAGAATTATTCAACACCATTCCTCGCTTAATAGCTTCTTCAGTTCCAATAAAATCAACAGAATATTACTGATTGAGGGATAAAGATGAAATTCCTCACAAAAGTAGTTTTATTCACCCACATTTTTGCCTTTGGTGTCAAGCTAAAGGGAATGTTGACCAACAGTTTCTCTGCATATATTACAGGCCTGCAGGCTATGCCCCAAGACTGAGAATAATTTTAACTCAAGTCAAGACAACTGGCAGAAATCATTAGTCATTTTTGGCTATGGTTAACCAACAAAATAAAGTTCTGAGGATGACTAAGAATTTTCAGGGGAAAATTACAATTTGCCTCCGCACCATATCCACAGGTAAACTGCCTTGGGATCTGATGATACTACCCAAGTCACATCTTGCTCCCATGAGATCTCCCTGGCCGCTGCTACTAGGTGCAGTTTCATCCCCATTACCCCTGCCACACCTGAGTCCCCTTCGTCTTCCAGTAGCCATATCCTCTCCTCACTTCTTCCCCTCACTTTTTACTATTCTCTCTCTCTCTTCCTCTCTCTCCCTCTCCTGCTGTACACCATGGGGATGGTAGGTTCAGGTGCACTGCTCAAGAAAACCAGGGCCATTGCCACAGGCAATTTCATTTTCACCAGCTGAGTCCATCCACTCTTAAAAACTCAGGACTTCTTCCTGTTTTGGGCAGAGCAAAAGCCAATAAAAGTTCACTCCATGATTCTTCTCGGCACATCATTTATTAATTTATAATATGCATAGAAATAAAAATGAATGCACATGAAAACCCTATTTAGTCATTTTTTATCAGTACCACAACACAGCCTCCTATCTCACTGTGTGGTTCAGATATTGGAGAAGGGATGTGCCTTTAAAAGAAACCTGGATGCCTGATCTTAACTCTGGCTGAGCTCAAAATCCACTGTCGCAATATAATCCTTACTACCACAGCTTTAATATATAATATGGTAGCAATCAACAGAATGGTGTCCCAAATAAAAATGTGCAACATGGCAGGCCTAATTCCCAAGATAAGTAGTTCAGCTCCAGCAACCATCAGCCTCAGACAGGGATTCCCAAACGTATTCAGGTCAAGACCAACCACAAACATTAGGTCAGAAGCACCAGTTTTTTGTTGGGTTTTTTTTTTTTTTTTTTGGAGCCCCATCTGCTAAGATTTTAGTTAGTATGGATTTGTTTAGAAATTGATACTGAAGAAAAAGCTACTGTCAAAACAACTTTCAGATTAAAACAAAACAAAATACAGTATGTCATGTGTTTCTGGTGACCCCCCCCCTTTACACATCCCTGTGGGATCAAACACTTGGAAAACTGAACCCAAGGCAACTGGATTTCATTCACAATTCCTCCCTCCGCTGAGATCCCATTCAGAACCAATTGTGGCTCTAAGGCATGCCTCTAAAGTCGGCTGTGCAGTTCAGACGGATGAGAAAAAGACAGAAAAAAAAAGAAGCCAGGGAGGGAGAGATAGGGGGCTAGACAAACAGGACAGAGCAGGGTCCATATGATCTCAGCAGCGGCAGCAGACTGGCAAGCAGCAGGCAGCAGAGGAGCCCGACTGCGACCCAAAAGATGTGGCACGGATGGTGGAGGATTACGTCATCGAAAGAAAAAAAACAAGGAGGACGCCTCATTACAGCAAAGCACCCCCTCACATACATTACTTAACAACACATAGTTAAAAGCCTCTCAACCAGCAGACATCAGCCCCCCCCTGTGTGTGTGTGTGTGTGTGTGTGTCATTTACTACTACTTTAAAAAAAATAAAATTATTGATGAATGGGGGAGAGGGGGAGAGAGAGAAGAGTCGCAATGAACAGCTGATGCATTATGGGCCTGTCTAAGATGTGACATGTCACATGAGAGCAGCTGTGACAACCGGTGCATCACCCATCATTAAGCACACACACACACACACACACACACACACACACACACACACACACACCAAGGGTCACCTAAAGGGTCTGTAGTCGCTTTAAATGCTACAATGCAACGACAACGGAGAAAATCCCTCATTAATCACTAATCAATGTCTCTTCTTTACAACAGAGGAATGTCACATTTTAAAAACCACATGACATTAAGTGGCTCCATTGAACGCCACCTGGACCCTGTCATTAAAAAGGGGGGGCTTATTGTACCATTAACGAACACATTTCACTACATTATAAATGTCGACTTGAGGGGGAAGAAGGCAGAATAAAGTTGTATTCATTCAATAAGCCTTTAAATGAACGCCAATACTGCGCACACTGGAGCAAGCTGGTGTGTTTTTTTTTTATTATTGAATGGAGGGGCTGAGAGGAAACAGCCAGCTAGCTAACAAGCAAGCTTACACAACCACTCGCTGTTCAGGGTTATATTGGATAAATAAAATGTACATTTAAGGCTTTTATATTGCTTTTTAAGAGACGCCAGGGGTGTAAGAACAAAACACAAACGTCGGATAAGCGTTATCCATACGTTATTTTCACGGTATTACCCTCTTTTTTATCTTTATTTTTCTTTTTAAAAAAAAAAAAAAAAAAAAAAAAAGCTGTGCGGGGAGCAACTTGGTTAAAAGTGACAGCGCTAAGCTAAGCTAAGCTAAGCTAAGCTAACGTCAGCTGGCTGTTTTTTTTTTTTTTTTGGTGAAGCAGAAGAAGAAAACAGAAAACCGGTGGCCTGTGAGTGAGTTGTGTGTTTTTTTTTTGTGTCTCTTACCGTCATAAACTGCTCCAGGGGCGTCCAGCTTTTAAGGAATATATCTGTTTTGCTGTGTGAGGAAATGGTTTTGTGTGTGTGTGTGTGTCGGGAAGAAGAAGAGGAGGAGGAGGAGGAGGAGGGGAGGAGGAGGGGAGGAGGGGGGCGATATAGCCCTGAACATCCAAGATCAGTTCACCCGCTGCCGATGAAACCCGAGCATCATCTTCACCACCGTCTTCGAAAGTAGTCGGAGTCCGGCTGCTGCCTCACACACATCCATCCAGCAGCGAAGAAGCGGGGCCTCCTCCGGGCTCGACCGTACAGCCGGCTCGGCGACGACGGATAATCCACAAGAAGACGGGAGCCCCCTGCAGTAACCATTGGCTAGACACGGCGACTAGCAGCAGTCATTTCAGGTCGAGAGAGAGAGAAATATATATATATATATATATATATATCCTCAACGCAGGCGGTGGAAAGAAAACAACAACAACAACAACAAAAAAAAAAAAGGTCACGAGTGGAAATATGTGGACATTAAATCATAGGGTGGGTGAGAGCGTTGCGTTTTCTGACTTTCCCCAACATGAGTCCGTTGTAGTCAGCAGCAGTCCCTGGTCTCTCTCTCTCTCTCTCTCTCTCTCTCTGCAGCTGCTGCTCCTGCCTGCCTTGCAGCACAGCAGCGATCAGCACAGCGACGTAATGGCGCAAACCGAGCGCACACGGGGCGGGGCCACGGAGCTGGAGGCGCGCAGTTCGTTTAATCGAGCGCACCCCCCTCCCTCCTCCTCCTCCCTCCCCTCTCCTCCCTCCTCCCTCCTCTCCTCCCTCCCTCCACAGTGTAAGAACCAAAATAAATATTAATAAAAAAAAAAAAAGAGAGCTTTATTTGTGTTATTTGAAATGCTGCTGCTGTTTGGGGGGGGAAACTTCTTTAAATATGTGTTTAGTGATTTGTGAATTATGTAACACCGCATGTGGAATTTTATTTATAATATTTTGCAGACTGTGCTGTGAAAGAAAGAAAAATGCACATTACCACAGTTTTAGGCTGTACACGCGCCTACTGTCTAAATACTACATTCATTTCTGTATTTATAATGTAGTTTGCATGTATTCTGATATGTATTGTGAATTCCTTTACTCCTTGTACCTTTAGTGTATTTGAAATCTTATTGTTTTTCTCTATAGGTCAAACACATTAAATACAATTTTAATAAAATGTATTAAAAAAAAAGAGTTTTTCAACTCTCTTTTCTACACTTTTGGCAGAAAGGGCAAAGCTTTGGGAATGATACTCGTACTGTGTCTGATAACTCCCCACACACACACATATTTGATTATATTTTAAGTATTTATTATTATTTTTTAATGTATTATTAAGTGCATTGTCCCTACAAGAGTCTGGATTTCAGAGTGCATATCATTGTGTGACTTTCAAAATAAATGTAATCATAAAAATAACTTTTTTTTTTCTCTTTCACTTCAAGTCCAAGCCTGCTCCATTCAGACCGAATGAATCTGTAGCCATGTCATTCACTAGACACTGCAACAGAAAGACACAGCACTCGCACACTGTGAGAGAGGTAATGTGGGCTGTACTGACCTCAAGTGGCTCGAAAAAGAAACAGCCCACAATGCAGCTAACAATGGGCCATTGTACAGTAACTCTGTTTGGCATACAATGAATTAAGCAGATGAAGCGTAGTGGTGAGAACAAGACAATGAACCCAGTATTGTTGATGCGCATATCCCAAAAGCCACTTTGTACTCGGGGATAATGATAGAGTAGACCTAAAAATTCAGTCAAAGCTTCTTTTCCAGGAACATTCCCGATCAATTATGCATTCATAGATATTTTTTTTTGTTTTCAACGTAGTATGACCTGATGATTATTTTGGTACAATAATATTTAATTAACATACTGGAGGAGAAAAGCATTTTTCTTGATGAACAATCTACTGCATTACCATGGATCTGGAGCAAATCCTGCATCTTGCTCAAGGGCACTAATGCAGAAAGGACGCTTCCTGTCAGAGTACACTGAACCCGAGCTGTCCTGATTAAGAACAGTGCCTCGACACCACCAGTCCGGCCGTCTGCATGCTTTTTTATGTCCAGATTTTATCAGGGACATGTGCCTTCTAGTTTTGAGTCTATTGACCCACTGGATGTAAAAAAAAAAAAAAAAAAAACAAAATCTGGATTCCACTTAGTAGCTTCTTCTATGACATGAGCTACCTAAGGACAATTATGTAAAATGTCAGCGTATGTCGATCTGCAACATTATTAATTACATACTTCTATATTTAGTTGAGTCCACAGGGCACTGGATCGGAAATTTAAACACCATATCTGAACCTTGTTAATATGCAGACGGACGACCTGAGGGTGCTATAAGATGAGCTCAGAGTCACAATAAGCTGCATATTAAGATTATTATCACTAAATAAATTAGTTAGAGTCATGCAAATGATGTATGGGTACATAGAGTGTTACTCTCTTTAAAGGTTATTTGAAGCCCGGCACGAGGAGATTAAAAGAACACGGCTATTCATTATAGAGACCACATTTGGATGTAATTCATTTAAGGATAAATAGATGACTATAGGTCAACAGAGCACAGGGAGAAACATAAATATGGAGCTTTTTTTATGCATGTCCTGGGAAAATACTGCATTAACCAGCTCTATTAATCTATTTTAAGTAGGCACATATGGATGGTACATACAACTGCTTTATGGTTCTTATTTCCTTATATGCAACACCACAACACGATCAGCACAGAGATTATAAGTACCAGTCCATCCCACAACAATCCAACGTATTTCCCTCCATAATGGTTTTTATCTGTCTTTCAAAGAGTGGGGACACACCTGAAGGTACAGAAACAGCTTACCAATGATGAAATGCCATTTTTCTGCAGGCAGCTACAAAGAAGCATTCAGCTGAACATCAGAACACTTAAAAATCAAGGTCAAACCCTTGAGTGTGTTTCCTATTGCGGTGGGAAACCTCTCACTATTCTTTATTGTGGTGCTTCCCTTTTGATTTTTTTTCAGAACTGATCAACTGATTCTACAGGGAGAATAAATAAAGAGTTTCTTGATACTAAAAGTTTAAGAATATAAAAGTCTTTTTGGAAACAATGTCACAGGCGTATTAGGATAATCAACCCGACATGCTGTCAAATGTTTTCATGAAGACTATTTATTTGGCAGAATGTAGATCCAATCTAAACTGTTTACAGTAAGGTTTAGGGACAATGCAAACAAAATTCCTTTCACCCTGACTGTCGGCAGAAATCATACAGATGGACAAATAAAAGCAAAACTAAACAAAACTATGCACGGCTAGATATCGATAAATGGACGGCAAAAGAAAAAACAAAACAATGACACCTTAGTCTGCATCACAAAGACCATTTGGCCTTGTCTATTCAACAAAACATATTTCATGACATGCTCCGAACAAGCTTCAAATATGTTTATTTGATAAGACATTGAGTCGAGAAGTAACCATCAAAATCTTGATTTTTTTCCCACCCAACAAGAATGTCTAATTTGAATGTTTTTAATTACAGGATTAATAAAATATTGCAGAAAACAACATTCAGCACATGTGGGATGTGTTAAAAGATGTTAACAATTGGTTTGGCCTGTTTTTTTGCAGCAAATAAAGCTTAGAAACCCTGCTATTTTTCCACAGTCTATTCATAGATGAGCACAACTTACAGCAGATCAATACAGACCCACAGACATCCATTTTAAATCTCAACACACCATCCCATTTCTTCTCAAAATTTCTCCTTTTTCAGCAGAGTGAGGATCCCGTCCCTCCTGGTTGTGTACGGTGTGTGTTTCAACTGAAGGAGGTGAGCAGGAAACAAGTTCCCGCTGGGAGCATACATATCCACTCCCTTCTGCCCCATCAGGGAGCGCAATGTCTTGTTTCTGGACAGAATCTTATCGTAAAACTCGACTCCTCCTCTGGCATAATCACGGGACACACCGGCTGCACGCTGGTCCGAGCTGTAGTCAATCCACTGACCGACAGCATCCGAGGTTAGGAAGTACGACACGGCACCGAGCCCCAGCGCCACAACATTCGCAGCCCCACGAAACAGTGCAGGCCTGGCGTAGAGACCCAACATCTGCTTCAGCGCCACACTGTAGAACCAAACCCCGCCCAGACACACCGAGGGAACAACAGCAGTCAAAATAGGTCCTCCTGACTGCAAGCGGGCCACTTCTCGTGCTATGGCGAATTTCTTTGCATCGAGGGAAAACACCAGTGCGTCCTTTAAAGCAGAACCAGTATCGCTGCTCCAGTCCACCATTTTGCCGTTGATGAAAATGGTGCGGTTGGTGATCCCGCTCGGGTCATCGGGCGTGCTGTTAAAGTTTGCTGGGATGCCAATTTGGGCCCCTGCAGGAAGCCAAGGGACACCGGCACCAACCGGATGGAACCCAAAAGAGGCGAAGGCAGAGAAATTCTTGGATGAGCTGATACCGTAGTCCTTCATCACCTACAAAATAACAACAAAAAGACTGAAATTTAGACTTTAGATCTATGCTTTGTGAGTGCTGACATTTATTTAAATTAAAAAGGTCTGAATCTTTCTATTTGTGCATGGATATAATGCCCCAAAAACACTAATATAACTATTATTACACATATATTTAGCTTTTTTAATAGTGCAATAATGTAAGGTTCTAGGTGTAAGCAGTTGTACAAATCTAATTTGGCTTATAAAAATGCTATTAAAGGGGGGACAGCAAGGAGAGAATAACATAAAATAACCTTAACACATCCACACACACACACACACACACACACACACACACACACACACACACATCCACACACACACACACACACACACACACACACACACACACACACACACTACCTGCTGGAAAACATCCTCAAGCTTCTCGGACAGCGCGACTGGCTCTCCTTGGTGCCAGGCCTGATAGAGCTGACGGTAGGACGAGTCAGGGAAAACATGGTAGAACATGTTGGCTGCAAAGACCCCGCCGCAGCCCGCAATAAGCAGCGGAGTCCGGTACTTCTGAAGAAGCACCGAGTACTTGAGGAAGCTAGACGCCATTTCTTTGTTTTGAGTTGACTGTGTGTCAGTTAGGTGCTGCAGACTTCAGTAGGTGGCATCTGAGAAGAAGGCAGACAGGCAGAAAGTGAATACAAGTGTACAGTTTAAGCGCTACAGGCAGGGATTTGAACCTGTGTTGAATACCCCTCTTTAATATCCCCTTCTTCACAGACCATATTCAGTTACCTTCATGTGTACACAACAGCCCCTGGTCATTATGTGCACAGATAAAGCTCATATAGTAATAAGTAGTATACACTATATGTCCAAGTAGGTTTTTATGTGACCTGGTGCAGTTGGTGCATAAAAATATATACATATAAAAATACAAATATACAATTATTCAAATCACACAGAAAAATAAAGTACTTTCAAAAAATAAATAGATAAAGATAAGAAGAGAAAGAGAAAGCTGTGCAGAAGACCGTGGGTGCATTAAAAGAGCAACAAATGAGGGTTATGTTGAAGTAATGCTTGAGATAGAGCCACATATAACTGACTTTAACTTAATATGAGGGGGTTTAGCCTCATATCAGCTGTGACAAGGTGGGATGTTGGTTAAATAACCTCTCAAGTCTCTGCCTGGGCCTGAAGGCAACTTTCTTATCTAACCCAACAGGCTCAGTGAAACGTACAAATGAGTCAAAAACAATGTAATATCTACCTCTACTCATTTTACACACAATAAAAAGCAGCATTAACCGACTGTGTCCCTGTAAAAGGACGCACTGAGCTTACACACAGCATTTCAACACAAGGTGTACACTGACCTCAAGCTAACGGAGCTAGCGAGGGGAAACGCTAACGTCACCTCTCTGAACGCAACACACAACTAAACGCTTAAAAACAACCGCATTTACTGTGTTCGTATCAAACCCGCAGGAGTTTAACACTCACATGTTCTCCACATCTTCACAAGGACGGCAGCAGTTATGTCCCTGTGCAATGCAGTTACATGAGGAGTAAACGCCGGCCGGAAAGCGACTGAGCTGTCGTGTTGCTCGACAGTTTTACGACAGTGGCTTGGGTGAGTGTTTGTGTGGGATTTAACCTCACACATTTAATTGTATTTAAAAGTGCTTTGTACAAGGATTATAAGTGTATTTAAGTAGATTTAAGGAACGTAAGATGTTAAAATAAGAGGCAGCAATCTTGAGATGTTGAGCAGAACATGTTTATTGAATTATAAATGTTCTTCCTTTAATGTTTGAGCATCCTACGCAGAAAAAAATTATAATTGATCATGTGAAAGCCATGATTTAACATATTAACAGTCAACAGATATTTTAGTTGAATGAAAGTAATTAGTCATGTAAGACATTTATTAGTTAGAACGATTAATAAACATAACAGAAAAAAATAAATGTGCATTTACTTGTAAAAGGAACAATAACAATGTACCTGTTAAATAACTATTTACACAATCTGATATATACGTATCACTCCTTCTCAGAAGACAGTGTTTCTTTTTTATAAACATTTCTTTTTAATTTTTGAGATACATAAATAGATCAGTTTAAAGGTATGCATATAAATTATATAAGTAATACAAAATAAAGGCACTCCAGTGCAGCAGAGAAATGCAATTAAAGAAAGATACTTTCAATCTGAACTTTATCTGTAGAACACTGTTCGACGTTACAGTACGCGGCCATAAAGGAAAAACCGCCCACACGGTACCTTAACAAAGAAATACAAATAAAGAAAAATACAAAAAGTGACACAGTGGGCAACTACGTTCAAGTTCAAGAACAGCTTTGGCTTCGGTCTAACTACAAATTGACAGTGACACACGATCACAGATTGTTAAGACAACTCCGGCTTTGACAGCATTGACACAGTTAACAGGACATTCTTTACTAAAACTGCCTTTGAGGTATGTTTTTAGTGTACTTTTTACATTGCACACATCCCTGAACATACAAATACTTGGACCATGTAGGACCATACATTCATTCTGGTGTGTTCAGGGTTAGCGTTTGCAGCATTCACAGCCCCAATTTACTTTACCTCCATTGTGTCCCATTACTTTTATTGCTACAACGATGGCAAGTTATCTAACTTCACAAAACAAAAAATAGGGGGAATATTCTCTCTCTCTCTTTTTTTTTTAAACAGATAGAAGGCAATTCTCAATTCTCCTGCAGTTACGTTACTATTACGGAGATATTCAGTGGCAGGATCTTCACTGGACGCTCCTTCCAGGTGTTGATGTATGGAAACAGCCTGTCGGTGAATGTGTGCGTGAAAGTGTGTACGACCTCGGCAGTGTCTGGGTTCAAGAAGGTCAGCTTTCCTTTGTCCCAGTCCAGGTGCACTCTGACCTTCTGGAGCCTGTCCTTCAGTGGGAGGACAGTCACCGCACACGAGGGGGAAAAGGCTGTGAATTTACCGTGGGAGAACCTCAACATCCACAACCCGGACAGTAAATCCCCCTTCATCTGGGCCTCCTGCGCCATCACCCCCAGCGCCCACACTTGATTGTCTCCAACCTTCACATCCCAGCTGTGCCTCCCCGAGCTGAAGCCCTCGCAGCCCAGGACGCTGCGGTGCTGGTGCATCCTCTCCGGCTGGGTGTGGAGCAGGACATTAAGAGGCTGCTTCGGTCCACATTTCACATTGGTCAAACCTTCGGACAGCTGCAGCTCTCGGTGGGCAGTGTTGGGGTTCAGGATTACGGGGGTGAAGGACACTAGATACTTCATTTTGTACCAGACGCTGAACCTAATATTTCCCAGATATTTGCCAACATCGATGAGGGCCCCTGTCATCTGCTTTGGGTCCTCCATCAGGGGGCGCTGAGCTTCTTTCTTTAAATCACCGACTTTGAACAGGAAGGTTGGGTCATCCTCTTTCAGCCCTCCTTCTATGGATTTAATGGTACTTTCCATGGCGTTTATCTCTCTGCTCAACACTGCAATCTTGTTCTTCACCATCGCTCTTTTGATTTCGTTTTCCTGCTTCAGTGCTGCAATCCTGGCCCTTTCCTCGGTTTGTAAAAACACCTTAAGCACGTCGAACTCATTCCGTATCTTCTCCTCTGTGTCCTGCGCTTGATTCCTAATCTCTTCATCTGTCTTCTCCCAGCTGACTTTCATTTCGTTGAAGAGTTTCACTTTCTCTCGCAAGGGCTTCAGGTTTTCCAAGAGGTCTTCTCTGCTCCCATTTGCAGCTTCGTCTACGGGCGTAAAGCTGTGGTTCCTGTGCTCATTTGAATCCCTACAGACAACACAAACCGGGGTCCGGTGGTCCAGGCAGTAGAGCTTCAGTTTCTCGGCGTGCTGGCGGCAGACGACCCCGGACTCCACCTCCAGCAGGAAAGCCTCGCACAGGTTCTTCAACACGAGGTTGCGAGGTGGTCTATTGGTCGAAGACACCGTCTTACAAACGGGACATTCACGCACTTGTTTGGTTCTCCACCACTGTTGCACACAGACCTTACAGAAACTGTGGCCACACGGAAGGAGAACCGGGTCTTTGAACGTATCCTGGCAGATCGAACAGGAGAGCTCGTTACTGGGGACTGACCAAGAGAAAGCCATTTTTGTTTTTGTTTCGTCTTCTTCTCCTTGTTCCGGGTTTAAGATTATTTACAACCAGCGTGATATCGCCCTCTGTCCTGTGTTGGTAGTAAAACACTTTTTAATTGATCAAATTCAATCATTAATCATTTTTATTTACTGCTTTCCTTCCTCGTGTCCCCCCCTTAAAAAATAAACTTTATTTACAATTAGCTTTAGAGTCAGACTCACTTTTATTGACCAGGCATGTGCACGCATACAAGGAATTTTAACTAAATGTACAAACAGACTAAAAGCATAAATAAACAGGACAACAAGCTCAACAAAAACAGACATAAACTACTATGTACATATATATATACAAACAAAAAGGACTAACATTTGTAGATAATAGTGCGATGGTGCAGACTGCAAAGGATGCTGAAATAAATATTGTATGTGTAGGTTTCTTTATGTACATGAGGTAGATGGATATAACAGTATAAGTGATATATTATGTACAATAAGGCAAACATGCATTGAAGTTCGGTATTGAAAGACTGAGCACATAAATACAATTACAAGTGCGGGGTGCCTTGCCATATAAACAATCGTACTGCAAGTTTCCCTTCCATACAGCAAAGACGATGAACAGTTCTCTTTTGGAAGATAATGAAGTTATTCTGATGAATCTTGTTTTAAAAATGAAACATTCTTCACCAAAAAAGTCCAGTGTGTAACATTTAGAGGGCTCTACAGGCAGAAATTGAATATAATATTCACAGGTATGTTTCCGTTTGTGTAGAATCACCTGAAAATAAGCATTGTAGTGTTTTCTTGGCTACAGTAGCTCCTTAGTCGTATTCAGTTGTTTGAAATCTGCAACTACACTACACTGCTACTATACACTGGATGTTTAATCAATAGTTAAGTATCTTATTATTATTACAGACAAAAATCATCTCGTAAAAAGGTTGCTTAACCAAAACTTTTAGTTTCTAAGCGATCATGTAGCCTAAAACATCCCGTACTCTGTTTATCTGTATTATCTGTATTCTTTGTGCTTCAGTTTCCTTCCAGGGTCTGGGTTGGATGGATTATCTTAAGGTTTTAATGTTAAAATGATGCAACAAAGCTCTGATGTGATTGGTCTGTTCCTTTTCTCTTTTGTGTACAGGATGAATACACAAGCAGTTGCTAAAAACTCAAAGACAGGTATGTACATGGAGAGTGATATGGAGAGTGATTCCTTCCGAGAGTCTGCACAGTACCAACAACACATGCACCATCAGACTAAAAACAGGTTTGTTTCACTTCAAGAAGGACAGGAAGAAGATCTTGATGTTCAAAGCTTTGCTCAGTCATGCGTTTATGTGCTGCTGACATTTTGCATGTGGTGTTAATTTGGGTTATGTTTCTCTAAATATGGTCACACTTTCTTTATATATCCAGGGTAAACTTAGAGCAATGATGCAGTCTGCAAGTTTAGCACAAGAGTGGGTGATGGCACACAGCAAGATTGACGTCTCCATTTTCAAACACAAGACGCATTAAAACACTTTGTCTCGGGTTACAGTTGAACAAAGGTGAACCTTGACCTGCCCGGCAGCTGGAGCCAGCCAGAGCTGGCATTAAACAGCAAACACATTCTTGACTTTGTCAGTCAAACAGGATTCTGTTGAAATTAATGAGGGAGTGAATATTTGAAGAGATGGATGCAAGTGTGAATGTGCTTTTATCAGGAAATCCAAGATGGAGAGTTGGGATTGTTCTTTCCTCCCCTGTTGTTCCTTGACAAGAAACTTAGTTTAAGAAAGTGTAAAACCTTTCTGACTGTTGTATATAATTTCAGTTTTATGCAGGACATTTTTAAATACTACAAAAATACTGTCTTCATGTACTGGTATTTGCTGTATTTATAGTGTGGAGGAATATAAATGTGCAAATAATTGTATCGTTTTGCCAATTTTATGGCTAATACTGAATTCAGATCTTCAAGATGACAGATTATTTACACCATGGTTCACTCAGCACTGTCCTTATTTATTTATTTACTCTTCACAGTGGAAACCAAGCCATTAAGACTAACATCAAAACTTTAGATTCCCTTCTGCCTGCAAGTAAAAAATAAATAAAATCATAGGCACATATTACAAAATAAAAAATAATTTATTTGCGAAGTACTTTTGTAATTTAAGGTTACTGTAGTGACTTCTGTATTAAAGAGGTCACTAAAGGTCAATTTAGGCAAGTGGCATGTAATAGTGTTTACTGTATATGTATATTTTGTGTGTTATTGTAAAGGGGACATATAAAGCAGAACAGTAATTGTACAGTGTAGATCAAAAAAAATTATAATCATTAAAAAGTATCTCAGTAGAGAACAAATAAAAATCAGAATAATTACAACAGAAAAATGAGGAACAAAACAGGTGGAACTCACCAGGGTAAAAATAAAGTCGATCTCCCCCACATCGTTTTTTTCCGAGCCACCGCTGTCATCTGTGGGTGTGATGAATAGATGGGAACGGTTCATTACAGCTCTATTGGTATTTTCCATTCTTTAAAGAGACCCTGCACTGCATTTCTCTGTGTGTTGTTGCACACATGTTCCATGTTCCACATTTCTCTAGATAGCGTCAAACATGCACGCACTCTCTTGTAAAATAGAAAAAGGGGAAGGGGTGAACAAATGTTGCTGGTTGCTGCTGATCTGTAATGATGAGTGTTTGTTCGAGGAGCTTTGAGAGGTGGCTACATGCCTGTGAGCTGTTTTTTTTTTTTTTAATGGTGTATGGCTGAGCTTTCGGTGCTTATGCACAGGATGCAAATGAAAGCTGGGACCAGGTAGACAACAGCTGATTTCAGTGACACTGGCTGCACGTGGTAGTGGTGTCATGGTAGAGGAGGAAGTGAAAGTTGTGCAGTTGCTTGAGAGAGTAGTGAGAAAATGCTTAGACTCTGCTCTTACTGCCTGATCCTGTGATGACCTCTAATTACAATATTTAAGATCACAACGTGCAACTGCTGAAACTGTAGAAACGTTTTGTATTCAGGGGGTTTTCATCATCATGGGACCTTGGATGAACCTTTTTATTCTGATGCCAAATTATTATGGTGTTAGTGTTGAGGTGGAAGTGCACTAGGGTGGGGCAGCCTATACCACAGAACACAGAATGGGTGTAGACTGCAGCACAGCACAGTGACACAATGATCATTTGTTTTAATTTCAGTTCAAATATAATCCTCAGGACCAAAACAGGCTACAGAGGGCCGGAGTGGGTGAGCACCACTCCGACAGCTACCTCACCTCAGCCAGTTCACTCACAAGATGTTTTACCTCCAGTACTTTTTATTTAATAAACGCACACTGCTGAAGTAATCACATGCCTTACTGTTGACTGAGCCAATGTTTTCTTGGTATTAAAACATACATTTATTAGAGAATGCAATCCATTTGAGCAAAAAGCACATTTTATCCCAACAAACCTTACCACCCTGTGTTCATTGAGCTCAGGAACACATCAATTAACATGCACTTTTAAAAAAATATGTACACTTTCAACACATTTAATGAATGAAAGCTGCACAATCTGAGAGAAACTTTTAGAGAAAGTTGCAAATTAGAGATTTAAAGATATATAAGAGGGATAGATTATTATGGTCATCTACACAACACCTGTAGAGTAATGGTTCATAATTAATATAACCGCGTACATCTAGGGATAGGCCCTACAGTATGGTAGTAGGGCTGATCACATCGTCATTGCAGCACAGACTAATCTGGTAAAACTGAAAAATTCATCACTTTGCAGTGTATGTGTGCACGCATGTGTATGTGCATATGTATTGTGATCAAGACAGACGGTCTGATCCTAGTGGAAAGAAACAGCTCACTACTGTCTCCATGGAAACAGGCAAGAGGCGATGGAAGTGTGTGTCTCTGCGTATGTGTGTAATGTGTGAGTGTCTGAAGGAACAGAGAGAATCCCCTATTCTATTCTGTTCTATTCTATTTGCTATAAGCCGCAAATAACTCAGATATGAAGCAGTATTGTCAGTTTGTGTATTGATGACGTTCACGTGTCATTATCAGAACTTACTATATACAGAGATGTGTCAGTCCTGGACCTGAAGCATTTCCATGGTCTTTCTCTCTGCCTTCTACACAGAGCATGCTGGGATAGGCCACATCCCTTTGACTGTGTAAAGAATTGGGCATGCATACAATTGCATGAACAATTTTTAAAAGATGATATCGGGATCAGTGACCTCTTGCATTGGCAACCCTTTGGTCCTTGGCATTATAAAGCAGCCTGAAGGGACCAGGGGCGGCTGTGGAGAAATATTCATGGGGTGGCAAGATGTGGCATGGAGACTTTGAGGGGTTGCAGGAATATATTCAGATTTAATTGTTAATAATCACATGTCAGTATTAGCTTTGGAAAGCCCTCAAAAGATTAATTACATCATTGCATTACATTGGTAAAACATTGAATAGAAACATCTAAAGTTGGCATTAGATGTCAATAAATTATATTATTTCCAAATGTATTTTTTCAATTTAACTTAAGTCTATCAGTCTAAAATGTGGCCATAACAGATCATTAAATGATATGTGTTAATTTCCATTATTATTATTATTTTAAACACTTTTTATAAAGGTCCAGTGTGTAGGATTTAGTGGCGTCTAGCAGTAAAATTGCAGAGTACCACTTTAACTAAAACACAATCATTACTATATTCAGGCGATTAACATACCAATGAATATTATATCATTTCTGACAACAGATTCTCACTGCACCTTTAAATTTGACGCATTTGACACCAAACTCAGGATCTGCCTCTTAACTTAGGTTGCAGCCAGATCACCACCAGCACCTTTCATTTTATGCAATAAACCCAAAGTAAATTGAAAACAAGCTGTACTGCATCTGCAGCTTGTTCGAATTGATCTTTGTAGGATCCGGATTGGTGTGCTCATGTGTGAAGTCAAGTGGCAAAGGAGTCCTATACAAGGGCAGCGTCCACATAGAGGTCATGGAGGCAATTTGCTGGACATTGATGTGCATTGCATTCAGGGTGTGTGTTTTTTTTACACATAGATTCATGTGCAACATAAAAGCCTTCTTTGTGTCAGTGCATCAATACTAACACAAAGAAGGCATATGTGTGCATGTGACTGGCTGACATAAATAGACGTCACTGGCGCTTAATGATCAGTGACACTGAATGTCAATTTTTCAACATGGACATAATGAACATGGTGGCCCTTTTGATGTATCTTAAGAGGAAATCAACACAAGAAAACTGTACAAATGCTACAAATAAACCTGTGAGAATGACATTCATTCATTCAACATAATTTGGTTCGGTTTAAATGTGTCAATGGACACTGGTGCTCCTGTGACTGTAGGTTCAGGACTGTCATAAAAACGGCTCACTCTATCTGACCCAGCCATCCAAACGCCAGCAGCCTCTGAAGAAAAATGAGGAGTATGCAGGAGACACAAACCAATCAATTCTCAAATTAAGATCCCATCAACTTGCCGTCCAATCCAGTAGAGTGACCTCTCAATGAATGAATAAATCAGTAACCCAGTCAATCAATTCATCACCTCTTGATTGCTTCCTAGAAGTCTTCCAAAGCCTAAATCAATAGATCCTTATGTCAAACACAGCAAGCTTTGGACTCCCTGATGGACAAACTGGACAAACAAAAACATGTGTCATTGCTGACTGGAAACATACAGTATATGTCCTTTAATTTACTGTAAAATCTTCCATACCTAAGAACCTAAGAAAGAAAAATAGCCATATGACATAAATGTACTAGATAGATGAATTCCTTTTTCCAGTTGTAGATAAATAAACCTTTCTTGAGACATGCATGTACTGTATGTTTGAGGCAGATGCTGAAGAAAAGCAAAATTTAGTTTCTATGACTTTAGAATGACTATTTGTACCTTCAAATTCAAAAGTATTATTTGCGTCACCAAGAGAGCATGAAGTGTGCACAGGCTCACTCTTGCACAGTCACCTTCGCGTCCGACCAACTGTTAATACCAAGAACGTGATCGACCTCTAAGCATTCTGCCTTAACTGATTTTGTTGGGGGTGCAATTGAAAGTCTGATACACTGAATGGTACAACAAGGTTGGTCAACATTATAATACTATATAATAATCTTTACATGGCTCGTTAGGATGGCAATGTCAGCCAGTTGGACGACCACTTTGGTTTAGACTGAAATATCTCAAAAACTCTCAGGTTGATTGCCATGAAATTTAAACTGATATTTATGATTCCTAGAAAATGCATCCTAATGATTTTGATAGTGAGGCTACTGCCAGAGGAATGCTATGTGCTTTTAGTGCAGACTTGGTACAAATGTGCACCTTTGACTTTTATAAAATTCCTTCACCTTTAACACCATTATTGCTGATCAAAAGGTACATTCATTGTACCACTATTTTTGTGCAGTTCACTTAATATTTGGAGCTAAACTAAAATTCCTCCAAAAATGATGAAAGTGTGCTTACAATTTCTCTTCAATATAACTGTAATTTGAAACATTTCCATTCATCTATTTAAGTGGTTTTTTAATCAACAATCACAACTGCATATAGTATACAGTACGTATATGAATTCAACCTCTTTGTGTATTCTGTCTTTCTTTCTTTTTTATTTCTTTCTTTTTCCAAATCTGTTAACACACGTTTGCCGTGTCTCTGTGCGTGTATGAGAGCCCAATCTTTTCAGTAGATTTTCCCAGAAATCCTGGACAAACACACAGATAGAGAGAGATCACTTTATTTCTCATCACTTAGTTACTGTAACGTGAATTCTAAAAGCCTAATGCCTGGATTATTTACAGAGGTAAAACGCATATCAAGCTCTCTCTTCCTCATTTTAATTGAATTATTTACATCTTATTCTCCCTCTCTCCCTCTCCCTCACATATCTCTGATGGTTACTGGTAATGGACTCCTACATCATAAACGGCCTTTCCAGTAATGTGGAAAATGTGTGCACGTGTGTGTTTTTAAACATATACTTGCATTGTGTGCACTTATTGAATACACCATGTTATATCAATCTTTAAATAATTAATCAGTAGAGACACATATTATAAGATACCAGCAGTGCAACCTGTCCTCTGTGGCTTTGAGTTGATTCAGAATATACTCATCTCCGTAAACAACCTCATTAAGGTTTCTGGGAAGCAGTTCTTTTAAGTAGCCTGTGTGTCAAATTAATAAGTAGACCATTTCCTTGTTTTGCCACTTCTGATATTTGTATTAAAATTATTTACCAACCTGTTACTGAATAATTTATGAAATAAGGAATAATTGCTCAGTAGTGATTCATATTCAGTTTTTAAAAAAAACCATCTGCCCTAATCTATTCTCAATATCACCAAGTCCCCTCTCTCAATCTCTTTACCCTTTTGCTCTCAATCATTTTGTATTACACACACACACACACACACACACACACACACCCTTCTTTTCTCTTGATTGATCAGATCCTTATCTACCTCTCTGACCTCTAGCTAAAATGAACCAAGGCTGCAGTGTCACATCCTTTTTTCTTGAGCACTGAAAGGCACGAGCATACAATAGTTAATGAATACACTTTGTGCTGTAGGATAACCTTTTATCATATACTTTTATCATCATGTTTTCATGTAAAAATGCCATAAAACCACATGTGCTTCTGCCCTGTTGTTTTTTTCACATTTCAAATGTCAGAAAATCTGGTGGGGAAAGAACTGAGCTGTTCTCTTATCATCTTATCTTATCTTATCTCGTAAATAAGACTTGTACTCATGTAACTGTACTCATAATTGTGATTTATGGTTACAAGATTTATATCTCACAAAGAGAAGAAGAGGGGGGAAAAAAACGAATTACAAGGAAACTACCTCATAGTGATCAAACAGTGAAACAATGATTTTTGTATATGTAAAAAATCTCCAATGTAGGCCTATATCTTTTTTTGGTAAAACCACATATACCAATTTGTATACATGACCAAAAAAATCATATGCCTGGACTGTATGTGAATACTTAAAACACATGTAAATGCATCACATGCAATGGTGTTTTAAATGTAATATTACATGTGGGAGACGTAGACTCTAACCTGGCAACAAGAACTGATGATCTGAAATAAACCTTCACATGTTGCTGAGGTTGCCAGTACATTAGGTGTACAAAAAAAACTTGAAGTAATGTAGCAAAAGTAGGTCTACTCAATATATATATGAATGGCTATAATCTGAATCTGCAAAGTAACTAGTAACTAAAGCTGTCAGTCAAATGTAGGGGAGTAAAAAGTACAATATAAGTAGCATAAACTGCAAATACTCAAGTATTAATAATCTACCTCAAAGTTATTTTTAAGTACTTGAGTAAATATATTTAGTTACATTTCACCATAACACCCAAAAACACACCAAAAAAGCACATTTATGTTTATTATTTTTAATATATATATATATATGTAAAATTATTCCATTTGAAAACCCCTTAAATTTGGCAGTGGCTACTTTGACAGGACTATCCCTTTAAAGAAGTCCGCTATATCAACAGAGCACAAGAACAGTCCATTTCACCGAAAAAAGGGGAACTCATTCACCGTTTCGTGAGATTTCACATTTAAAAACACAAAAAATACACCGCGAAGGAAAAACCAACACGTTAATATTAAATACCTCTCAAACACACACATCACATCGCACCGAAAACTACCTTTTGACGGCGCAACGTATGCGCACAAAAACCCGCTTTCACCCCCATTCGGGGCTTTTCTATTTTTAGCATCAGCTGTTGCAATACAAAGATTAGCTACTCAACGTATTGTTTCGCAGATGTGGGGAGCACACTCCCGTCTGTGGCGAAAAGGGCGGCGGTGGTTTGAAGCCGAGAAAGAGAGAGAAAGATGAGGAGGAATACGTCGCTGTGAGGACGTGTTATTTTTTTTTATTTTTTTTTTGTGTGTGTGTGTGTCTTTGTGTTCACGACCAGCGGAGCTCATATCGGTAAGTAGCTCTCCAGTTGACAGAGAAGAGGTCGTGAATGCGGGTGGTTGGTGTTTTTTTTTTTTTTGTTTTGTTATTCACGGACAGTGAACGCAACACCTACCGCTGATGTAAAAAAAAATAAAAAATAAAAAATAAAAAACTCCTGTGTTAGCTGTGCGGTCATCTATTGGTCTCGACTGTAATGACAGCACGGTAAACATCCGAGGGAAGTTAGCTTTTTTTAAATTTTTATTAAGACTATAAACTGACTGTGTGTCGTTTTGCGGAAATTCCTATTTGCTGCAAACTTAGAGAGAGAGAGAGAGAGAGAGAGAGAGAGAGAGAGAGAGAGAGATGAAGCAACCGAAATCCGTTATATATTCAGGGGCGGCTACTGTCGGTTTTCCATACGGCCGCTCACACACACACACACACACACACACACACACACACACAGACAGACAGACACAGAGACAGACAGACGGGCCTTGCCTCTGTGTGTCAAAAATGTTCCCTTTAGGGACGAAACAAGAAAACACAGGGCTTGTCTTTTTGTCGTCTGTCAGAAGTATATTTTTCCTCCTTCCTACAGCCACCATTTTTAGCAGCTGTATACAGTACACACACACACACACACACACACACACACACACACACACACACACACACACACACAGTGGTCGTCCAGCTCTGATGAAAATGCTGCAGATTTAACCACACAGATGAAAAGAGGGATTCTTCATGTATCAAATCATAGGATGAGATCATTCAGAAGCAGCAGTTAGTCTGCAGACACACACACACACACACACACACACACACACACACACACGTTAATCACTATTAATAGCAAAGTGAAATCACCAGATAATTTGTCTTGTCTGGGGACAGATCCCCCCTTTATCCTTCCCATCATAACTTCATGGAAATGTCAAATCCTCGCTGCTGCTGCTGCTGCTGATCACGTTGCTTGTGAGAGTAAGGGTTAGCTGACTTTAACATGCTGTTTCACTGTTTTCCCTGAAGCTTAATTGTGACCTTTGGCTATTGATAGATGATTGATAGATGCTGGGTTTCCCATCCTATGTATGTGATCTATTACATGTGTTAGGACGCCGTTGTTAAGTAATGATTCCTGTGAGATGCTTATTGTCGGTTGCATGTGTTTGGCGGTGGAGGAAGTATTTAGATGATTTACTTCAGTAGAAGTTGCTAATACCGCACTGTAAAAATACTCTATTACAAGTAGTTACATAAAAGTATGTAAGTGTGATCGGGAAAATGTACTTTAAGTAGTATTGATGCAGAAAAATGTCCCCTGTGACTGTTGTTATATATTATACTATTAGATTATTATTCATTTCTCCATGAATTGATTTGATGATTGATTGATTTCTTTTTTAATTATGTGAGGAAAATTGTGAGAAATGCATCACAAGCCGAGCCGAAAGTGACACAGTGACAATGCTTGTTAGTCCAAACCTCAAAATTATTAAAAACAAATGGAAATTATTAAAACCACTCAAAAGGAAAAGCAGCACATCCTCACATATGAGAAGTTTGATCTATGACATGTTTTTGCATTAAATAAGACAAACAATTATAGAAATATTGCCAATTAATGTTCTGTCACTTGATTAATTGACTGATCATTTCAGCTGTACTTGTATACTGTTGGGTAGTTTATAACAAAACATCATTATGGAGTAAAAAGTGCAATATATTCCTCTAAAATGGAGCAGAGGAGAAGTAGAAACCCTCATGAAAATCAAAATAATCAGGTAAATTACAAGTAGTAAGTGGCAAAAAGTTGATAGTGTAGAAAAGTAGTGACCGTAAGGCTACAGGCAGCCCTGAGCCCTTCTTCATCTTCCCTGAGCCCTTCTTCATCTTCTGAGGAGCAAATACAAGACAAATATTCACTGAACTGCTGAGTAGAAAAACAATAAGACACTCCACCTCCCATGTGTGAATGTGTTTAACTGTATGAGGGTTAACCAGGGCACAAACCTGACTTGGATAAATAAGGATTAAAGATACATTATCCCATATTATTCCCAACCTAATTGGTCTGTTTAGTTTCCATAGATATAGCAGTTGGTGAGGTTATACATTCCTCAGCTTTCTTTGCAAAGAAATTCAGCTAAATGAGTGTCTTTTTGCTTTGGTACTCATTCAGACCTTTACGTTTGAGGCCTGTTTCTGTTCCCATGCTGAAGGCTTTCACATCACTTTTCTTTTGTTTTGCCCCTGAAGTTTAGACCCAGGTATCTTTCTGAGTGTTTGTTAAATGATCTAACCCTAACACTTACTGCACTGTCATAGGAAAGGAGAGTTATTCTTTACATCTTATTTATTTGGATTGTCTAAATGTTCAGTGTTTACATAAAAAAATGTTTAATAACTAAAAATAAATGTCACTGTAACTGATGAACAATCATTGATTGATGACATTAGGGCTGGGCGACGTGCTTGAAACAAATATCAGGATGTTTTCGTGATAATTTTTAATATCAATCTAGAATATATAACATATTACAAATGTGAAATCACATAAAAAAATCTCAATTAATGTCCAAAGCAATTAACTGTGTTTAATATATATGTGCATTATGTAAGACCATAATGAACTAAACTAAGTTTCGTAGTTTTTAATCACAGCTTGCTCAGAATCCTAACAAAAATATTATAGATCTATAACATGATCATTTCAACATGATGCAAATTTATTGGAAGCCAATATCAGAATCAGAAATACTTTATAATAATATATAAGTAAGTATTTATAATATAACAAACAATGATGTGTTATTTTTTTTAAGCAGCCCTAAACAACACTACTACTCTTAATTTGGTAATGAATTCCTTTTTGGCCATTATTGCTGTCTAAGAGAAATACCGTAGAGTAGTGCAGGTTATGTGGTGGTTAAAGATATTTACTTCATAATCAACCATAAATTAATAACATATTGTACCCCAATGTAAAGTGTTTTGTCCAAATTCAATTGGAAATGAGTTGTTCAGATCATTCATTCATTGTCACTGATGCCTGGTAGAAGTCCAGTCGTGACATCCTGTGTCCTGATTGAAATTCCCAAATAGCTGGAAAAAATTTAAAATGATCAGAATGAATGAATGAAAAGGTCAGAGTAGGAAATGCCCCCAGCAAGTCACAGTACATTAGTGAGATATTTGGGTTGTGTGTGTGTGTGTGTGTGTGTGTGTGTGTGTGTGTGAGAATTGTGTGTGAATGGCCGCCCTTATCCACAGAGAACGTCTGAAAATGGCATAGTATTATGAAAAAGACATCAGTGTAATTTATGGCTAAATGGGTTTCTCAAACAATGCAGTGAGACCGGAGGCTGTGCCAAGTGAGTCATTAGTGATGACCCACAGTCATGTGATCAGTTATACAGCCCTCGTTTAGGCTAGTTGCACTTTGTCCTCCTCCCAAATGTATCGCAGCAAAATCTGGGTATAAAGTCAGTCATCATTGGCGGATATGTGGCGAGGGGGCAGCTGACTTTGCTTCGCTCATTTAATGGAATAAATGAACAGAAATTACTGCATTAATTTACAGCTTTTCTACTTGTGTACGTATATCTGTCAACAGCCAACAAATGTACTTGTCAAAATCAGATTAAAGACGTCTACGCTAGGGTACGACAGTGGCCCAGTTGGGCAGATTGCATCTTGCTGCACCCTGAATTTGTACTTGTGTGTGAAGAAGGACGATGGTGATGTACATCTTAACCCAGGAAGCCAAGATTTGATGCCACGCTGGCGAGCAATGTGGGGAGAGCTGTATGATTAATAATGTATTGATACGCCACATGAAGGCTTGAAGCTGGTAAAGAAATGTTAGGATCCTCTTGTGTTTGGCCCAGCTCTCAGACAAGGATAGCCCTTCAGCAAATTCTTGCTTTCACTTCAGCTGTCTTGGTGACAAGAACCAGCAACCGGCCTCGTCCAAGGTTGAAAACCCAGTTCCTACAAAAAGTCGGGGCTTTGATACATATTTGGATCGCCCTTAACTCAGTTCATACAGTTATACCACCCATTTGTTAAATTGTTTTCAAATGTAAAATAAAAGATCAGATCAACTCTTAATCCAAGAAGAATGAGGGTGGAGTTTGATTAAACTTTGTCACTTGACAATTGAGAGCTTTAATATATTTTGAACTCGGTGAACTGTGTCTTAACACCTCCTTTGAATGATCGATGAGTGTTGATATCAACGCTACAGTACTGGCTGGGGTGCGCACCGCTCTGTTTCTCCTTATTCCTGTTCTGTGAGATAGGTTGCTGCTTTGTTCCCATGTGAAGAGGGAAGTCCCTTTTATCCTTTCCCAAGGCAGCAAACTCGCCACTTCTCAAGAATCCAGAGGGGCTTTATGGAGTCCAAAACACTCCAGCTGCCTCAATTTTTATGTATGTAAAACCTGAAACTTATAAAAAATAAGGGTATTTCCTAATAAATATATATTTTATATATATATATATATATATATATATATATATATATATATATATATTTAATCATTTTAGAAATGCTTTTTATGTGTCGAAGGTGGTTCTAGCCAGCATTTCAGTCTGTTAAAGCTTTTCTCTTACATGGAAAGGGCCAAAGCAATAGGAAGTTAAGTTATCATCTTTTAAAGAGTTGGAGTGAATAGCTTGACAGTTTGGACAAGTTTCAGGCAACTTTGGTTAAAGTTAGGAAAGACTGGTTATAAACACATTGTGTCTCTCGCTTCAGGTCACAGGTCTTTTTTTGTATTAAACTGAGAGCACTGGCTTAACCAAGTGGTAATTTCTGTAAAACACAAGAGACAGACATTTTTATTAATGGTGTTATTTCATAGAAGTACTGAGTTAACCCGTGTAGGAGGGTCATGAGAAGGGAGTTTTCAAATATATCCCATCTGAAGAGGGTTTTTCTAAAAGCTCCATTTTCAAGAGTGGAAAACACCAGCTTAGTGTGGAGGAAAGACCAAAGCTGAGAGCAAAGGATTCAGATTCATTGGCATTAGCGTGGATATGGCCTAAGTTCGTCCTTTTGCAGGCTTGCTTGGCCCTCTGAAACATCAGGGTTTGTAAAGCCACATGGCCCAAACAGAGTACAATTTCCTCTACAAAGCTTCCACTCCCAAAGGAATTTGTTTTAAACTTATGTCTGTGGATTATTTTAGTCTCACAGAATGGGGAGTGTTGTTTCAGAGACTGGTGCACTCCACTGAGTAGACTTACAGAGGGAAATGCTGACACACCGTACAAGGTTGTGACCTGACTTGGCTTCGGCTAACCAGGCATGACTGGTCTGAAAACCCCAACTGGTGGCAGGTACTGGGATTTCAAACTGTTGTCTTTTTGTTTTTCTGCACAGCACTAAAAAATCTGTCTAGTCTCTAGTCTGGCGGTGTCTTGTGAAAATGGTACGGTGGCATAGACGTTTATAGCCTGTGATTTTATGACAGCCAGCCAACTGACTGACTGAAGAGGCTTTTTAACATCAGGAATTTGGCTTGGAAATTCTTTGCCCAACCTGGCTGGCTGATTGGCTGGTCGGTCTTTGGAAAGGAAGGAAACATCTTCCTTCCCTCCATTGTGCTGGGCAGGAAAGGATGGACTGTGGCCAGCTGACAGCTGTTTCCTGGTGGATGAAGGAGGAATGGTTGCGTGGGTGGGTGGGAGGGAGGGTGGTGAGGGTGTTGTGCTAGTAGTGAGTGAATTTTTTGTCTGCTTTCTGACTGTTGCTACAGTTTAATGAGAACTAGAAATCTGAATGTTTCACAGTAAAACAGAGTAGATTATTTTTATTTAAAATTTGTTTGATTTCAGATTTGTTCAAACTTCAACAATTGCAGAGGGGATGGCTTGACTTCAATGTTTGTATCAGCGGTTTTCATGTTTTAACCCCTCCACTACAAATTGCATATACTTAAACCTACTATGAGGAGTTTTTAAGTGCTTGTGAAACAGTCTCAGTTTAATACTGATGCCTCTATATGACCTAAACAAGACCATGAGCAAGAAGGTATGGCTGTTTCTATATATTTATACTCAGAACTGTAATGCTGGGTCTGATTCCCCTTTAAAATCAGACAAAACAAGGCGGTGGAAACACTACCGCGTTTGTACACAGGTTTTTTAACGTTTTTTAAGCGAATCATGTATAGATGTCCTACCATTCAGGCAGTAATTGTTTGACTTTAAACTTGTGGAAACTTGCTTGAGATATGTAATTTATCATGGTGAACATTTCAGTCCTTGCTTTGTGGATATTTAAAGATACCTGGAGTTTTAAATGAAAATTAACCACCACACACTGGAATGACTTTACTGTGACATCCATGTTTACTAGCTTGCAGGGTTCTTCTTGTTGCTGCATTACCACCACCAACTGTTGATGAGTAGATGACTTCAATCTATTCTTTTGAATCCTATGTTGGTTATCACGGGCTACAAGTCTGTAAGGTCACAGTTGTGATGTGGTTGTCACAACTGACTGGTTGCAGTTGACAGTCGAGAGATAAAATCACACAGAGGACGGTGTTAAATAACTCCAATCATTTATCTACGTTTGAAGATTCTTTTAAACTTGTTGAAACATTTTACGTCTGGAAACCAAATTTTCAATAAGAAATACCAATTAAAACATGGCCATAAATGGGGAGCGCATGATAAAATGGTTGTTGTATCAACTTCACACCATATTGTAACATTTCTATCACCTCATGTGGCCTTGCTTCCTCTTCCTCACTCTTCTGTTTCCGATTCCTCTCACCCTCCTCTCCCCTCTCTCTCTTCTCGTACTTCCCTCCCATGTCTCGTTATTTCTGAAGCTCTCTCCCTCTTTGTGGCTAGCTAGTGGTTTGGGCTTCTTGCCATAACAGCATGAGATAGCATGACACATATTAGAGCTCCTAGGTCATTGCCCTTGGTAATTTTAACCGTACAGTTTTACTCTATTAAAGCTGCAGCAGGTAAACTTACATTTTGTCATATTTGCTGAAACTTGCACTATATTCTGACAGGAGTACACGAGACAGATAATATGTGAATTAGTCAGGTTCCTCTGGCTCCTAGTGCTCTTAGTGGCATTTGTGAGAATCCACCAGGCCTGAACAAAAACAACCAATCGGAGCCAAGAAGGATAGAAAAGCTTGTGGCTTGAAGATAGTTGATTGTTGAGTCTCATTCCCAGCATCGGTATTTGACAACCTTGAAATGAGACTCAACAATCAACAATCTGTTTTTGGCTCTGATTGCTTGTTTTGGTTGAGGTGGATTCTTGCAAATGCCAGTAGGAGTACTAGGATGAGCCAGAGGAACATGATTTTGTTTTTCACAGATTATCTGTCTCTTGTACTACTTGTCAGGATATAGCGAAAGTTTCATATGACAAAAAGTTATTTTTATAAAAGTTACGTACTGAAGCTTTAATATAGGAAATAGGCTTTAAAGAGTAGAATCTGATATAAAAACAACAACACATTTGTTGAGTACTGTACAAGCTGTTCCTCTGAGGTGTAAGTACAGAATGTATCTGAATCATTTGGAAATCTTTTAATAGATTTTTTTTATATCAAGCCTCTACTGTACGTCACTTGTGTGGAAAAAAGAACTCCTCTGTTAAACCTCTCATATTCTAGCGAGATAGATGTTTATTTTTGTTTTCAAAAAGCCATAATTACAAACTACAGTTATCCATCTGTGTTGAGGCCATCATATTTCTCTGCTGGTTCTGTGGTTCTCGTGGGCCACTGAGAGCTGACGTCATTAGCCGGGTTCTTGCTACTCAGCCAAACCAGGCTCACCAAGGTTTTCTTTAGTTGCTTCTCCATACAGTTGTGTGGTTTTCAATGCAGCGCGACAATAAGGCTGTGGCTGCTGCTTCTTTTACTATTCTTCCTTATATTTAAAACACACCAGCTTATAATAAATGTGAGAATGCTGTTAGATCTTGGCAGACCAGCTCTCATTATATCCCATCAATAGCAGTAAGGCAGTAATCTTGGTGACAAATGTTCCTTCACAGTAAAAGTCTTTTGTGGTTTTTCAGTGGGAAGCTTTAATATGAAGCAGCAGCCAAAGGAACGGTTTGCTTTGCATTAACTGTATCTTAAAGGTGTCTAGTTATGTTTACATTAAGTATTACTCACCAAAAATCATTATACACTGATCAGCCATAACATTATGACCACTGACAGGTGAATAACACTGGTGTGATATATCAGGTAGCAACTAAACTGTTATGAACATGTTAGAAGCAGGAAAAATGGGCAGCGACTTTGACAAGGGCCAAACTGTGATGGCTAGACGACTGGGTCAGAGCATCTCCAAAACTGCAGCTCTTGTGGGAATAATTAGTATGAAACCATTGTGAGGAATGTGTATCACATCAGCCAAATGCGCCTGCAAGTGCAAGTGCATTCTCAAACAAAACAGGGATCCCCTCATGGAAAAACATCCTAGATGATAGATGATAGATGGAAGAACCACAAACAAGTGCTGTAAACAACCCTAGAGAAGGAAAACAACTCTGAGGTCACCGTGGACAAACCTCAAACATCCATGGTGTCTGCTGATCCTTCTGCCTCTGGTTGTTGTGAGTCTACAACCGAGGCCAGAAAGTGAGAACCAGCGCCGGTTGTTTGTGACCCTGCGGATGGCCAGAGTGTTCACCAAGTGTCACGCCCTCCAGAACTGTAGCCAGGAGGAGTGGGTCAACCATACAAAGAGACCAGTAAAACAGACAGTGGAGGGACTCACTGTCATTGAGGGCTTCTGCCCAGATGTCAAGAGCACCAATAAGGTGTGCAAGGCTGTGCTAAAAGGCAGCTGCTGGAGACAGGAACCAGTTGTGGACGCAGCCATCGAATATATGATATATTAACGAAACTAATTATTTAAGCAGAAAGGCAGGTCCTTTAATACTTTATCTTGCTACTTACCATGTCACAAAACTCTGCAGGATTCTGTGGTTTGATTTCTACCCATCTTGTATAAATCCTGAAGTCAATACAATAGTCCTCACAAGATGCAGTTCCTCTAATGGCTGCTGGACGCTGGCTCCAAGACAACTGATTGTATTAAAGGGATTGGAAAAATATAAACTTCTCCTTTTAAAAACTCAATTGTTCCACTTTAACACTTTAACACACACTTTACTTTAACTTTTTTTCACTCTTCTTCCATATTACAAAGCCATTTCCAGCTGTCGTTCAGCTTGTTGTCTTTCTCTGGTGGGTTCAACTTAGATTCCAAATTGGTGTTTCCCAGCTACAAAATCTTTTGTTGTAGGTGGGCTTAAAGGGTGCTCAACTCTCTCTCTTAGCCTCTCTTTGTCTATTTTTTTTTACTATTTTTTTCAATATTTCTGCTTTGATCCACAACTCCTAGCTGTGGTCCGTGGTCTCCATGGTGATGAAAAAGCAGCTGCAACAAAAAAAACCTTAACACCTCTCTCTCTCTTGTTCTCCCTCTCCCTGTCTGTTGTTCCCTTCTCTCTCTCTCTCTCTCTCTCTCTCTCTCTCTCTCTCTCTCTCTCTCTCTCTCTCTCTCTCTCTCTCTCTCTCTCTCTCTCTCTCTCTCTCTCTCTCTCTCTTCCATTTTAGCCAGGTGCGTCTCATCAGCCACCTACTAGCCTACTTCCCACCTTTACCACCACTGTCGAGGTAGCCATGGCGACCAGCGCTGTGCCAAGTGACAACCTGCCAACGTACAAGCTGGTGGTGGTGGGGGATGGTGGTGTTGGGAAGAGTGCCCTCACCATCCAGTTTTTCCAGAAGATCTTTGTGCCAGACTATGACCCCACGATAGAGGACTCGTATCTTAAACACACAGAAATAGATGGACAGTGGGCAATACTGGATGGTGAGTAGAAATGTATGTGCATGTGAAGTTAACCAGACAACAGCTGAGAATGATCCTATGACACCATGTTCATTTTCTATTTTATTTGTTTATTTATTTTCATTTTCCTTTTGGTTTCAATTAAACATGTCCATCATTGATAGAATTAATGACATTTAGCAAAAGGCACTGCTATGGTTGTTGCATGTGGGAGAAATTATGTATCGTTCCATGATTTTATCCTTCTCTTGATAAATTATTCACACAGAATTAAGGGTAGCCAAGGCCTAAAGGTGAAGGAAAGATCACCCTATGTCAAATATGTGTATCATCTGGGTGTGTTTTGAATGAAAGAGTGAGTAAAAGAGAGACCCTTCCATGTAAAGTGATACATTTGTGTCCCTCCATCTTCACAGTGCTGGACACAGCCGGCCAGGAGGAGTTCAGTGCAATGAGAGAGCAGTATATGAGGACAGGAGATGGCTTCCTCATTGTCTTCTCTGTGACAGACAAAGCCAGCTTTGAACACGTTGACCGATTCCATCAACTCATACTACGGGTCAAAGACAGGTAGGTTACAACGGTTCAACTGAGGAATACCTTTGCAGAGACCACTTTTGCAAATCAAATCACAGAATGGCTGATCACTCTTCTCTAGTTGCCTTAGAGAGAACAAACAACTCTATTCTAGAGAAACAGTTTGAAACGGGTTTTGTGTTTGAGGGCATGCACAATAAACCCACAGCTTGTTATTGTTCTGTATGTGGGACATGTGACAAATCTGTGCAATCTGTCCAATCAGTCTGACATTTTGATGTATTTAAACACTAAATAGACTAAATCCTTAATTCATTAATACAAACATGCTAAAACATCTGCTTAGCGTCCCCTTTCTGTTCTTATTTTTATCTATCTATCGGTTATGAGGACATTTTACTCACCAAATAATTGCTATGATTTAGGAAAACTTGCAGCATCACTGGAGTGAGTCATCAGTTTGGTTGCTAAATAAACCCCAGTTATATTAACCAGATTACTTCAAAGTGAAACCAACAGGAGAATGCATCCAAAATGCCCAATACAATCAACCATTGTACTGGAAATCTGTGTGTGTGTACATTACAACTATGGTAAATATAGTAAGTTGAAGTTACTGTACCCAGAAGCCAAAGTCACCAAAAGAGGAAGTAGCTCTGTCGGATAGACGTTCGCAAAATAGTAGAATTGGAGAGTTGTTTACAATCTTCTGACCACTAATGTTGTATAATGTTTGCCCTTATGAACGATGTTTTCAGTTCAGTTTTTATCTAAAATGTTATAACCATTTAAAAATAAGACCCAGTAAGTAATTACTTTTACAGTGAGCTCCATCATATCATCATCTGATGTGGTCTAAGTTTGACAATGCACATGATTCAAATTCAAAATATTAAATATATGTATTATTCTGAAGTACATTTATCCTAATTTAAGGCCAACCCCCCCCAGTCAGACATGGTTCAGTCGGCAGTAACAGTTAGCGTTGTCATATGTTTCCAGGATTAGACCTGTTAAGGATTAGGATCTGATTCTTGCTACACTTCCCTCAAACTGCAGACCAGTTGGGCAGAACATCAGATTTGTTCAAGTTTTGTTGTGGATGTCTGTTGCGAGAGAACAGTCACCAGTTCTCTCACTGCGACTGACAGTAGCCAATAAAACTGAGCTCGAGATGGAACCAAAATAGGAACTGGAACTGAGCAAGTTGCTGTCTGTCCGTATTTAGTGGTGCTCTACTGTATCTAATTTTTCTTCAAGATTTGAGTGTTGCAGAAATGTGACACCACCCAGACAATTTGTGTAGCATGTGATGCTCTTCTAATCTAAATGTAAACCTATCAGGTCTTTAAAAATAGTCTCTAGACCATGAGACACTTAAAAAGACTGTTTGCTACCACTGCAAGTGGTTTAGAAATCCATTGTTCAGTTATACAGGAATACCTGAGAGTGAGTGTGTGTGTGTGTGTGTGTCCCTTCCTCTCAGGGAGGCCTTCCCCATGGTGTTGGTGGCAAACAAAGTGGATTTGGTCCATCTGAGGAAGGTCACTGCTGACCAGGGCCAAGAGATGGCTGCAAAACATAATGTGAGTAGGGGGCCTTTCTTTAAGCGCTCTGTATTATAGGCTCTACTCGATTTCATATAACTGAGTTTCTAACAGAGTTCCTGGGTGCACTACAGAGACAATGAAAGCATTTCTGAAACAGCCGTGAGAGGAAAGATCATTTCTCATGGAGGTGTGTCCTTGTATCTGAAATACAAAATCTGAATAAAACTCAAACTGAAATAAACATCAAAAGTTTAATTTGGTTCCACAGCTGAACAGTAGACTATTTGTAAATTCAGATATATTTGTCCTAAGACACACACTACATAATCTAATGTTAACCCTGTAGCTAACACAACGCTTAAGAACACCTTGACACCCTCACATAAAGCCGTCAAACTTTTTAACACCGCCTTAGTGTGAAAATCATTTGCCTCCACATTAATGTTTTTTTAAGAGGCTTCTGCACCCATTTTATTTTAATTTTAACTCTAATTTACAATGACGACTTGGCCAAGACGCACGCAACAGGAGGAAAGTCGATCCAAAAATTAAAACATAGATACAGCTAGAGTAAAAAAACAATATTGAACAGATTTAAAACAGCACAATATATACAGTGTATATATACACACAACAGAGATGTAAGTACTGTGTTCCAGAGAAGACAATTCAAAAGCAGGTGCAGTGATCAGATCTCACATGTAATGAGTTATTAAAGGGATTATTAGTGTAACAGAATGAAGGTATGCAGTTTTAGTGTGTTTAAGTCACTAGGAGCGGCAAACTGAAAGGAGGTGTGGTTACTGTAGGAGATATTGAGTTATGCTCTGAACCTGGGATATTTGTTTTTCATTATTTATAATAATATAAAAGAATAACGTGTTGTCTGTTGTATTTAATACTGTGAACTTTGGTGATGTAACCTCATCTTTCAGGCTGAGAGAGAGGTCTCTGAGTTGCTTACTTTACTTCACTCACTCTGCTACACACACACACACATACAGTATCCACTAATTCCAGGGATGTGACGTCTTAAGACTTTTTATATCACGCTTTTTCTTTTTTATTGTCAGTATGTCAGTCGCAATTAATACCACTTATGCTTTCATGGTTTGAAATATCTCTGCTTGCTTCTTCAGATAACTTATATTGAGACCAGTGCCAAGGATCCTCCAATGAATGTGGACAAAGCCTTTCATGAGCTGGTTCGTGTTATCAGGTAACCCCAGGTTCAATTCTGTTTATTCTCTTATTTTCATGAGATAAAGACATATCCTATATCATATCTTTGCATGCAAAAGAATGTAATACAGATTTACTAGCAACAACAGCTGTCAAACTGCTTCGGGACAGTAGTGACCCTATATTGTCTACAAACTAAAATACAGTCATTACATCTAATAAAACTGTCTCAACTTAGAGTTTCACCCTTTCCTCCCCTTTTTTCAGTGTATTGTATGTCTTTAGAGGATAGTGGCACTTAGTGTTATGTTGGTATGTGAGGGCAGTAAAAGTGTTTCAAAGAAGAAAAAAAAATCCCTGAGCGATTTCCTGTCTTGTCATACGTGTAATTTCAGAAGAATTTGGTTCGTGTCCATGTTTTGCATGTGGTCATATCCTGCTTTAGAGCCTTCTCTTGTTGCCAGGACCAATAAGCAACAAGTTGGCATGTCACAGGGTGTTTTAGGGTCTGTACTCCGACACACAAATACATAGCTGTATTCACCGCTGTATTTGTAATTTATTTCCCACATACCAGGTCTGTAACTGACTCACGAAACCATAGACCGATGAAGAGTAGTCTTTATTCTTAACCGAGGAGGGTTAATTGATGAACCAACATTGCCCTCTTGTGGTCAGACTGTAGTAAGACAGTCAGGTGGATTAACAAATAATGGTTGGGCTTTTTCCCCGATTGGTGCATCGGCAGTTTAGACAGAAACTGTCCATCCTCTTTATACTTGTATGTGTTAGTTGCCACATATTAAGCTTAGTTGCTTTCTTACAGAGAGAATTAAAATAAGAATATCATTACCACTCTCATATCTGTATGGTAAGTATGAAGCTAGAGCCAGCAACTGGTTGGCTTAGCCTAGCTTGCCTGGCAACCACATAGTGACAAGAAGACTCCAGCCAAGAAATGGTCCTATACTTAACACCTCCTGTTGAACCCCAAAGTGTTGTTTTAACACTATGGTGCTTGTAGAGATGAAACAAATGACGTATAACATGTTAATTAGTGCGTTTAAGAGGTGCTGGTAGGTGTATTTTGTGAGTTTTAACTTGCCGTTTCCCCCCTTATTCCAGTCTTTCTCAACATTATGAAAGATAATTATAGCTATGTCAGGATTCTTGTATTATGATTTAAGATTAACAGCGTGCAAAGCTCCAAAACTATAACAATGTATCAGGTTCGCAGTCATAATAATGGACAAAACAAACAGGACACCAGCACTTACAGATAAGTTCAGTATCTTCTTGTTTTATTGAGGCTAAAAAACCCTTCTTGTATTGTAAGGTGGCAGAAAAAGCAAGTAAATTGACCCTGAGTTAAGATTTTTTTTCCCTCCTGTGTTTTTCTTTCTCCACATGCACAGACAACAGATCCCAGAGCGAAACCAGAAGAAGAAAAAGAAGATGAAATGGAGAGCAGAACGTTCCGCAGGTTCCCACAGGTTTCACTGTGCCATATTGTGACCTCCCTCGTCCTGTTTATTATTCGTAACGTACACACACCCACACGCACACCCACATACCTTTGGATGTCCCCAAAGGAACTCCCAGCAGTGGTTAACTACTGGAGCACAAAAGGGAGGGGAGGGGAAGGGGGGCGGCGATGGACGTCTAGATGGATCCAGAGGGGCGGAAGGAGAAGTGAAATGTTGGACTGATGTCCCCTGCAACCTTCACAAAGCCTTGGAACGAGTGCTATGCCATCTCTCCTCAATTTATGCTCCCTTTCAAAAGGTCTTCAGATTCCTCCCATGTGTATTCAACACAGAACTACAGTGTCAGCGAACTGTTTCTCAATCAAATGTAATTTTCTGAATTTAATATCAAATGGGGCACACTGACTGACTCAGTGGGGAAAAGCAAAGAGATCAGAATCACCGTGATGTTGGAACTTTTATCTTCTTGAGAAAGGGATGGAAACGGGAGGAACCGGGTCAAAATGGCCCCTCGTGTTCGCCAGCTCCCAACAACCTGCTGGTCATCACCTATCTATCCTCACACTCCTACTGGAAGAAAAGCACCTGTGTGATCTTTAGATTAACGTCTATGTTCTCTCTTGGTAGAGCGGACATCATAAGGGCAGGACGGATGAATACGAGAGCGGTGACAGTGATTTTGTTAGTACAAATAGATGTTGTGTGGTGTTGTCGACGAGTGAACTGTGAGTTCTGGGGGTTCAGCGTGTACCTGGTGGTAATGCGAGACTGGTTTTGAAATGGTCAGTTCAGAGAGGACGGAAGGACGTGTTGTAGCGAGCGAAAGAAATGTGACGTGAAGCTGAGAAAATGAGTCATATTGGTTGACAGGTGAACGTTACGGTCATATCAGCTTGTTGAATAAGTGTTTAAATATTGTAATTGTAAAGGAAATTTAAGGTTGGTCGGTGTATGTAGTTACACTTTGATGTAAATGTAACAGGGTTAATACCAACACTGAAGTGTCTGCAGCCATTTTTACAGACACTCTTATAAATGGATTATTTTCCCATCATAAAAATAGAAAGTATATCAGAGCAAAAAATACTAATAACGGTTAATTTAGGTTGCCTCTTCAGTCATTATCAATGACATGATGAGTGCAGTCTTCATCAGTACTGTATGAACAATAGCCCTGATATTATTTTTGTCTTTGTAGTCTTAACAATTCAAGTTACTTTCCATGTTTTTTGTATTTCAAAAACTATAGAAAATTACAATTATATTTGTGATATAAAAAATAAATCTAATTATAGGTGGCAATGTAAACAAACTCAATGCTGTTTTACGAAAGAGCTGTCGGAAAGATTCTTAACGAAATAGAATAGATAAGGGATAGTGAGAGCTTCGCGTTTCAGATCCGAAACAGGCTGGAGAAGCTGATTTGCACTGGCCACTAACCAAAATAATGTGATGTCACTTTATTTCAATCATGGGGCTTTTCAGACTGCACCATTGAATTCAGGACAATGTTGTAAGAAGAATCCTGCTCAGTAAAGGACGACACTCCTTTTTTTTTAGTTTCGGGGATATATACTGTAGCCTTGGGAATACGAGTTAGAAAGCCTGTCTGAACCAGGCAGTGTGACGCTCCTAGGGCTTTAAGCCATGTTAAACTAACTACAAGTTTTAGTTTGTAGGAAAAAAAAAAAAACACACACACACACTCGAAGCAACAAGACATTCAGTGTATTAATGTTTGTAGCTGTGAGGTGGATAGGAATGTACAATTTAATAACCTATGAAATGGCTTGTACTGTTAACGCACTAAAGTTTCAGTGGACAACTTTTTTTGTCTGGATGAATACCGTCTCTTGAAGGAATACATTTTTGCACTTTTAATACAATTTCTGACTTTCCTATTGGCATGTTGTTTTCTGTTCAAAAGTGAAATGAAAGGCACGTTCAAAAACAATTTGAATGTAAAATCGAATAACAAAGTAAGCAAATAGGCGATTAGTGTTGTAGCCCTGTGTGCCTGTGTATGCCTGTTGCCTTGGCGATGATTGTAGAGACAGAGATTAAACAAGCTGGAATTTAATCATTCGAACGGTTTTGAAGGAAGAAAAAAAAGTTCTGTATTACTCAGTTTTGAATTAAGAAAGTTGAGTGTGAGAAAACTCATTTATTGAATGGCATACAAATTCACCTCAGCATGAAAGTGGAAAATCAACCTCAGCAAACGAAGGAATACATCTACATCTACTGTTCGCGGGATTTCACGGAGAGATTCCAGAGAAGGACAGAAAACGTTGAAGTACTGAGCAATGAAGCAACAGACTCTGGATTGTGGGGGAGGAAGAAACAAAAAACAAAAAAACAACAACAAAAAAACTAAAAAAAAAAACAAAAAACAAAACCCTGAATGTGTTGAAATGAAAATGTTGCATCATGTATGTTTGATACCATTTTGTATTATTGATATGAATTATTGATATGATTCTTGCAAAGTGTTTTTTAAACAACTGAATAATTTATTACTGTCTGTTACCTCAGCGTGTCCCAGACCTGGACAAAAAGCTAAACTCCCCCCCCCCTCTCCCTTCGTCCTGTTTTTCTTTGGGACTCTCTGTGGGTCGTTGACCTTTTTGCCTAAAAAAAAAAAAAAAAAAAAGCATAAAGACTTCTGCTTTACTGGCGCTCATGTGGATGACCTCACAAGTGAAAATATAATGACACAAGGGCCAAAACAAGGAAGGTTTGTTGTCCAACTTGTAATTATAAATATGTTTGTTTGTTTGTTCAATGTGAAATTTCTTAAAGGAATAGTTTGACATTTGGGAAATACACTTATTCACAGTCTACATGAGAAGACTGATGCCCCTTTCATTAAATATTAAGCCACAGCCAGCAGTCGGTTGTCTTAGCTTGGCTCTGTCTGAAGGTAACACAATCAGCCAACCAGCACCTCTAAAGCTCACTAATGGACTTAAGTTGTGGGTTTATGTGCTGGATTATTTCTTTCCTTTGGACAGGGCCAAGCTTGCTGTTCCCAGTCTTTATGCTAAGCTAAGATAACCGGCATGCTGGCTAGTTTCATATTTAGCGTACACATAACAGAGCGGTATCGATCTTCTCATCTAGAGTTGTTCCGATACCAGTACCAGTACTGGATATTCCTCTGATACTGAATAAAGTTATTTATCGGGTATCTGCAAGTATGTGTGTATGTGTGTGTGCACATAATTTATTACCCATTAGCATTTTTTCCAGGAAAGCAAAGTCATGGTCCGCCCTACTCTGACTCTTATAAAGGGTTTTACCTGAGCCAGGCCATACAGCAACAATAGCAATCATACAGGCTTAGTAGTATACGCTTGTTAAAAAATAATAAAAATGTGTATGTATATGTATATATATTAACGTCCTTGTATCAGATCAGTACTCGGTAACGGACGATACGCAAGCTTCAGGTGTCAGGAAGGAAAAAAGGGTATCGGAACATCTCTATTCTCAAATAACTCAAGAAAGTGAATAAGCACATTTCCAAAAATGTTGCATACTTCCTTTAAGCAGACTGAGCTCATGTACCAGCCAGGTGTCTTCTAGTTGGTTATTTAACTTTTTGGTTTGAGGTCCAAAATAATGTTTGAAATCAGAAAGTTACCTTTCTCGAATTAATCGTTATGGCTGGTACAAAAAAAAAAAAAAAAAAACCCTGCTGATTTATTGCGCCATCTTCACATTTCAGGCAGACCAAATACAAATGCTGAAAGTGAATATAATGTTCCAGTTATCTGACCCTGGATTATGTGAGCTAAATTGAGTACTTTTCATTAATTGGAGAGGTAGCATTCTTTTTCAATTAGACACCAAGTATTGTTGACGTTATGCAATTGATTTGAGTTGTGTGTGTCCTGAAACTCTGTCAGTATGTAAAGATCCAAACAAAATTTGGAGTTGTCACAGCAGTTGTGTAATGTGTGTTTTTGGACAGGTCTGTTGTGTTCTAACTGGCTGTGTCAGACTGAGGAGCTAGACGAGGCACAAACAAACTGTGGCCTTTTTATCTAGCCTCAGGGGTTGATTATATTTCAATAAAGAAATACAAGTATTGTGAGTTTATTTGTCTCACTCCTTTCTTTACCTTTATGGTAGGCGGGTATCCGTGATATTAGAATGCAGAGACAAACCCTAAATCACCACTGAATGGCCTGTTGGCAGAGCCGTGTACAACAGCCACGGTGAACATGGCTACACACGTTTTGAGAGTCGGCTTGCTGGTTCAGCAGAAACTCGCCTCATTAATCTTCAGAGCCGTCGAGGTCCATTGAGTTCAACACTGAGAATGCTGAAAGCTACATTTTGCCTCATTGATTTCAACCCCTCTGGGGAGGCAGGCCGGCACACAGAACAGGTGCCGTATCACTGCTATTGATTTACATTCATGTTCTTTTCACGGTGAAATCGGTTAGGAGAGGTGCTCAAGGTGAGAGGAGGGGCGAGAGAGCTGCAAGATGGTGTTCATCATACAGACCGCTGAGTGAGAATACATTGAGACGATGGATATAATTACTACCCTCACGAATCAAGGGGAACCGTCTTCAGAGATAAATATTTCAAACATGGATATGTAAGTCAGCTTGAAAGATTAGGGCAATGCTTCAATGTGACCTTCACATGATTAGAAAAGTTGCCTACACATTAGTGTAATCAGCAATAACATGGTATAGGCCAGCATCACTAATGCACCTGAGGGCCAGCAGAGAGAAACCACTTGTCACTGACATATAACACATTTTGTCAGTACCTTTAAAGTTTCTGTGCTATTTGAGGGTCTTACCACTGGGGGTCAGCACTTCACTGATTAACGTACTTATCCTTTCTCATTACTTGGGTGGTAAAAGCACTGTCAAATACAAATGTTTGCACTTTGCAGGACCAAAAATCTGCTTATTGCTATCAATTTTCTTAACGTCAAATTGCTAAATGTTACGTAGGTCCTGTGTGATAACTTAAAAGCTCAGATAAAGGCAAAAAAAAAAAGAAGACCTACTATGAAATAAGAAAGAAAGAAGATGTGTTGCATACATAATACATTTTGACAGGACACACGGTTGTTAGTTTAGGAGAAAAGAGCCAATAGTCAGTGACAGCTGACACACATCACATCACCGTTCTATCGTATGAAATCAGTCGGCCTTTTGGAAAAGCTCACGTCCTCCACACCATCATGTCTCTTACAGCACTTCTGAATTTCAACTAGTGGTTCTCCTTGATTTCATGTATTCATGGTTCACACCTCATGTGTTACATTCAGTGTCTCCCTCCCTGTGCACTATTGAAATCCCTTTGATAATGTAGCTACTGAATGCTGGTCAGTATACGTTTTGGCTTCGAGTTTATTGCTCTCTTGCACGATCTCTCCCAAGCTGTCTGGAGTCATTTGGGCAGAATTTCCAGAAAAAGGAAACCTCGCCAATAAGTACAACTGTTCGCTCATTTATTCCTACAGCAGTCTGGCCTTTTTAATAACATTTCTAAGCAGCTATGTCTCAGTTTCATAGACTCTTAGGGTCATGCAGTATTAACGTGGATTCATCAGCCTCCATGTTGAGGTGTGTGTGCAAAAGATTACCTCAGATTTGAAAGTCTAAACTTCTACCAGACAGACTTGGTTTCATTTGCAGTACAGTGGTGGATTTTAAAAGCATGACATAAAAGGATTCAGATGCTTCGTGTGTTTGTACAATACCAGAAAGCTTTAATTAATAGACCAGGCTTTTATTTGCTTCAATCACTGAACTCAACCTGTCTATATCTGGTACAGGCGTCTGTATGGGACAGGCATTTAATCCCTTTTGCACAAAGCTCGTGCTCAGCAAAGAAAGGGAATCCTATCAAACTGTTTATATAAACCAGTGTGAATATTAGTAAAAATTAGGATACAGAATAACATATCGATTACGAATCATTCATTTATCATTTGCTTCTTTGGTATTCATCCTTTCTGTAAAATGAACTGAATGATTGGATTGCAGAGAGAGAGAGAGTCTAACTCATATACCGATGTAATGAGTCTATGCAGCTCATAACTCACTGAAGCGAGTGACTCGGTGGATTTTAAGAAGTTTCATACATCAAAAGAATTTCTATAAAATCCTGACCAGGTGTCTAATTAATGTGTAGTCACAGCAGGCTAGTAAAGGGGACCTGCGTCTAATTGGGACCCTGCTTTTAATTTAAGTTTTATGGTAAATATCTGATGTGCAAAATATGATTGATGTTAAGCTGCTTTGGCATAAAACATATGAAGGGTTTCACAATCAGCTGTTTGTTCCATTGCTTTTAATCCTCACAAAAGGTGGAGTGAAGTCACGGTGAAGACAATGGTGCTGATGGAAAAAGAGGAGAAGATAGATAAAAGAATGGGGAAAAAAGTAACTCAGAAGAATCAGAAGTGAGTCAGAAAGGGCAGCCAGGCAGGGTGGAGGTTTAAATGTACAAATGTATAAAAATCCTAGCGAGAAACTGGGTCCCTTCTCATTTTCTCTACACAAGAGAGTGGGCAGAAAGGTGGACAAGCCTTTTTAAATTAGTCCATTCATCACTAAACAATTTATCTGAAATCAAACTTGGGATCCTTAATCAAAGAAACATTGTTAAAAGAGTGAAATACAAATGTAACGAGGAGCAGCAAAGACATCTGGGGAAAAGAAAAGAAGATAAATTAAATATAAAAGGGCACTCCCAAGGATGCATGGGGTCGGGCCCCGAAGGGTCACAAGATCAATCTGAGGAGTCATGAGATAAGAAAGGAAATATAACAATAACAATTATAAAAAGTAGTTCATTCGGAGTGGTGATAGGATTCTGGTAGGATGGAGGTCATGTACGGAGGGATTATAAGGGCTCCAGGAGGGATGAAAGGGGTCAAAGAGTATGAGTCAAAGGAGACAGATCTCTCCTCACACATACAAATCACGCATTTGCAGATCTGTGCCACAGCAGAAGTGAAGCAAAAGTCACGTGTAAAAAGACAAAATAAATGTCTCCACACATTTTTAGATTTTTATACACGTTTACAAATTTCTCTACACATTTACAAACCTCAATACATTCACATATCCGATCACACACACACACGGCTTGGGACACAGTTACACAACTCTCCACTCACATGTGTTTTGTGTTTTTGTGTTTTTGCATGCTCCCAGATAAAGATAGGAAATAAACCATTAAAGAGAACGATGAACGAGTGCTATTAAGAATCATGATGTGACTGGAGTGGTTCTGCTACACAAATACGTATTTATTTTTGGACTGAATTATCCCAGATTGTTTTGTGGAAACAGTTCTTGAAATGAAGCCATTTACCCTCTAAACTTAAAAAAAATGAAGTTTAGAGGGTAAATGTCTCTCTGGTGGACATGCTGACAACTCAAAGACATCTTAAACATGACATCACATTTTTTTTAGAGAGGTTACAAGACAAAACATTTGGGAACCAGTAGTTCAATCTTTAATTAGGCAAGGTGCATGAGAGTACCTTTGGTCAACTCATTTTCAGGTGTGTTGAAAAGAATATTGAGAATATTGAGCTGAGGAGGTCAAAGACGTTATTTAAATGAGACAGGGGAGACATTATTTCACTCCCCTGCCCACAATTTGAATAATCCATTAATACTTTTCAAGCTTTAGTTTCTGCTTCATTTAACATGTAGGAAAAGGTGTTTGATCAAGGTTGCAACATTGCAATCATATTTGGCTAAACGTCCCTCTCAGCACTGTGCCGCAGTTCGGTATTCCGGGTGCACTGCCTAGGACCGGAAAGACTTGTCTCCCAAAATCTGGACAGTATATGTTAGATGTCTACAGGAGAAGGCTAGGAATATCAGTATGGACCCAACCCATTGAGGTCACGGCCAGTTTGCCCCCTTGCCATTGGGGAAGAGATACAGAGCCATCAAAGCCTGAACAAACAGAATGAAGAACAGCTTCTTCCCCAGAGCTGTAGCCTCCATCTCCCCCCCACCCTCTCACAGGAGTTACAGACTGTTGCCAAGATAATAGGTTTAGCCTCTCTCATTCATTTACCCCCAACTGCTGCTAATGCACTTTATTACATACATCTCATGTCTCTGCTGTGCTCTATTAAGCTGCTGTGCAATATATTTTATATATTTTATATTATTTTTATACTAATAGGCCATTTGCACTGTCACCAGTCATATTTATATTTAAAGTTTTTTATACGTATTATCTATATTGTTCTTTTCTAATCTCGTCTTTATTGATGCTGCTGGTCACTGAGAGTTACTAAACACAATTTCGTTCTGTGCCTACAATGACAAATAAAGTCTCCTACTTACAGTCTTCATAATTCAAATTAGTTGGGGTCATTAGAGTCACTGTTTGCAAATGAGATGCTCCTCAGTTAACCACCCTCGTGATATATAATAATGGCAGAGTAATTTTTTGGAAGCAGGCCAACAATATGATTGTGACAGGACCACAGATAATTTAAATATATCAGACTACATATGTAGTACTTGTTTGTGGGATCCGTCCATTGTTGGATTTTGTTCTTTTCATTTTGACAACACAGCTGTATGCCTGTTATATTGTGTATCTGCATTTACCAGAGAAAAACATGCTGGAAAATAACATCGTCATCTCAATAGAAACTCCTCAGCCTCTGTCACTTTATCCATGGTATTGTGCATAGATAGTGAGAGAAGATCTATGACTAGGATCAATAGGTTTAATTGGGTTGTGGCTGTGGACATTAGAGGAAGCGCTTGAGATAGCAGAATGTTAAATGCTGTCTTAGGACGTATTGATTTATGTTGAGATGTTTTGTTGTCAACCATCACAATTTAGAAAGAATGAAGGCTTTTGGATCCAGGGATGCTTGGATGCTGGATTAAGGTTTCTTTATGTGTTGATGGTCAGTTTAGGAGTCTGTTCTTAGAGTTTTCACTTTCTCTGCAATCAAGTAGACAAGTAGAAATATCTCATTAATTATTGGATGGCCATCAAATCTGCTACAAATATTCACAGGCTCCAGATGCAAGAAATGTGATAAAGTTCCCTCAAGAGTGCTCTTTAGTCCCCTTA